GAAGGGGGGAAGGGAGATGGCCCACAGTGCACTTGGGGCCTCTGCGGCTGGGCCAGGCCCCGCCATGCTGGCCGCCCAAGCAATTGACACTGGTGCTACCGCACCGCCAGCCAGCCCCGCCCGCTCATGCACCCCCCAACCCAGGATGCAGAGGACCCTGGGGGTGGGGATGGGATCTGGGGGTCTGGCCAGGGCTGAGGACTCCCACTGAGTTGGGGAGCCCTTTTGTCCCCTTAGCCATGCAGGAGCCCTCACAAGGAGGAAGGGTGCCAAGATCCCCAGACCCCAAGTCCCCAGTGGGGTGCCTCTCAGGACACACCTCACCCCAAAGCTCTCAGCTGCAACCCAAGTTCTCAGAAGGGTAAACGATGTCCCGGGGAAGGGAAGGGCTGGAGAGTTCATTCTTCACTCTGGAAGTCTCCATGGGCCCTAACCCTCCAACCCATGGCCTCTCACGCAGCCCCCCCACTCTGTCCCTGCCTAGAGCTGCAGCTGGAACTGTCCTGGGAATTAGCACTGCAGAGGAGAGGAAGCTGCCCCTCTGGGCAGGAGGGGCATTGGGAATGGCCCCAGCAAGCAGCTTCCCTAGCCCGTGACCTCCGATTGACACTGAGGTGAGAGGGCAGAGAGCAAGGAGAAAGGTCAGGTAAGTCACTCGAGGGGTGGCCCCCACGCCCACACGCCGCCCCGAGCAGCGAGCCCTTGCACACAGGCACACCTGAGCCCCGTGCTGAGCGCCGCAGTGGCCACTGGCAGGCTGACTCACCTGTCACCGTGCACTTGCTGGCATCCCCAGTGGGCACAGCCCGGACACGGTATGGTGAGAAGGGGATCTCGTCACCGCCATACTTGATGAGGATGGTGTAGCGACCTGTTACATCTGGCACATAGGCCACTGTGTATGTGCCGTCGTGGTTGTCCTGAATGTGTGTCTTCTTGGGCTTGCCTTCAGGGTCCTGTGTGGTTAGGGCACACAGGAGATGGCCGGTCTAGGCCATGCTAGGCCTAGGCCTGCCTCAAGGTCTTCCCCAAGGAGTGGCAAGTACCACTGCTGCGGCAAGTCTCTGGGCCTCTCAACCGCCACGGCCCACAACAGCTGCTGGCACCCAGCATTATCCTTCATTTCTCCATGGGCAGAATTCAGAATGGAGTCTCTTTATACTCAGTGCTCCCAGGATCTGCCCCAGCACTAGAAGAAGCTTGCCTGAAGACCTCAGGGTCTTGTCCTTGCATGAGCCCAGCAGGGTGTCACAGCTGGGGAGGCTGAGGCACTGGGGCTTTGGTCAGCAATGTGGGCTCAGGGAAGCCTGTGCCTGTCACCATCATCCTAAGGTAGTCACAGGCTTGGCAGACTACAGGTGGGGCACTGGAAACCCACTGGCCTGCCTGCCCACCCCACCTGCAGCACCCAGGCCTTCCCCTGCCCTCCCCATGGCCGGAGCTGCAGTCCATCTGGGGAAGGAGGGGTGGGGTTGCTCACTGTGATCTGGACAGCCAGCAGGCCCTCCCCGGCATCCTTTGCATCAATGGTGAACTCCACGGGTAGGCTGGCAGGCACACCAGTGGTGTTGAGCCCAGGACCGCTGGCCTTCACTTTGCTGGCATCATGTGTAGGTAGCACCTTGACCTTGAAGGGGCTGTGGGACCAGGCTGCTGTGAGTGCTTCAGAACCCAGCCTGGGTCCCCCTCCAAGGCTTGGGCCCTGCCTCTTACCTCCGAGGCACCTCTTCATCTCCGTACAGCACTGAGATGCTGTAAGGACCCTCTCGGCTGGGCACGTAGTTGACGGTCTGGGTGCCATCGGCATTGTCCACCACGTCCACTGGCTCCACTAGGCCTGGCCCCAGGCCCAAGAACAGAGCCTCAGCCAGCCCCGTGGGCCTCTACACCACACCCACCTTAGCCCCACCACCCCAGACAGCCAGGCCTCAGTCCAGGCCTGTGCCTGGCTCTGTCCTCACCTGCCTATCTCCAGTCACCGCCCTAAGCCTCCCTCCCACCTGTCACTTCTGCTCGGTAGCCAAGTCCTGTTCATTCCACTGCTTTGCGCTCTCCTATTGGCTCTACTGCCACTGGGGCCCTCTACCAGCTGACTTGTGCCCGGCCTCTGTTTTGCCCAGTGTGCCAACACTCACCTTTGGGCCCCTGCACTTTGACCTGCAGCGGAGCCACACCAGCCTTGCTTGTATCCACCTGGAAGGACTGAGGGAGGTTGGCACGGACCATGCCTGGGCTCAGACCAGGCCCAGAGCACTTGACCTTGGATGCGTCTGTCACATCGTGCACAGGGACCTTGAAGGGACTGCCTGGGGGTTGGGGCAGAGGAATGATAGCTGCATAAGACAGAGTAGGGTGGAATGGGCACTCCCAGCTCCGCCCTGGCCGCCGCCTCACCTGGCACCTGATGGCCCCCATAGGTGACATTAAGGCTGTAGGTGCCGGCCTCATAGGGTATGTACTCGACTGAACAGCTGCCGTCCTTGTTATCCATGCAGGACATCTTGGCCTCGGAGGGGCCCTCGACAGCCAGGCCCAGGCCCCCTGTGCCAGCTCCCCTGGTCCAAACGGACAGCCTGTCATGTCCTGGGGCTCCTGGGCCTATCACCCACCCCTGCTGCCCTAGCAGCTTGCTCACCTGGTCTCCACAGTAAACTTGTTGGGCTTGTTGGTGGTGCCACTTTGGATGCCTGGCCCATGGACACGCACCCGGGAGGGGTCACAGCCCTCAGTCACGGGCACCTGGAAAGGGCTGCTGGGCACAGGGCTACCATCGTAGGTCACATCCACCGAGTGCAGTCCTGGGGAGGGCAGGTAGGTCAGGAGGAGTCCGCCTGCCCTCTGCCCCTGCCTGGTGGCCCAAGGAGCCCCAGCACGCACCCTCTTCATATGGCGTGTACTCCACTTTGTACGTGCCATCACCACAGTCCTGCACATAGGTCTCAGTCAGGTTGCCTGAGGGGTTGGCCACACGAGCCTTTACATGTGGCCCTCCGGTCTGAGTCAGAGCCCGGGCGTCCACATTGAACTCAGTGGTGGCTTCCCGGAAGACACCTGCAGAAGGACACAGGGAGAAGGCGTGGGGCTCTGGGGACCCTAGCTGCCCGCACCCTCTCTCATGGCCCTCTGGGCAGGGCCCTCACCTTGACCCTCAATGCCAGGCCCGTAGCACTGGACGCCGGAGGTGTCTACCGCAGGTTCCACCTGCAGCTTGCTGGGGAAGTTGGGCACAGGCTGGCCACCATACTTGATGGTGACCGTGTAGGCTCCAGGGCAGAGGGGAACGTAGGTGATGGTGTGTGTGCCGTCACCGTGGTCCTGGATGTACACCTCGGCTGGCAGCCCAGCCTCAGAGCAGATCTCAATGGTTAGCTCTGCGTTGCCTGCACTTGAACAGTCCACCTGGAACTGACCCACCTCGCCTGCAGTGGCCCGCTCTAACCCAGGGCCTGAGCACTTGACCTTGGATGCATCAAAGCAGGGAACCACATGGGCCTTGAATGGGGAGCCAGGGATGTGGGTGTCTGCAAATAGGATGTTGATGTTGTAGTCCCCAGGCTCAGTGGGCACGTAGGACACAGAGCAGGTGCCATCCCCATTGTCTAGACACTCGAGCTGTGCTTCGCAGGGGCCCTCCACCGTCAGACCCAGGCCACCTGTGCCAGCGCCCTTGGTGTCGATGGTGAAGCGGGCAGGGGAGCCTGCACTGCCTCCCTGCAGGCCTGGCCCAAAAGCCTTTACCTGAGGAGAGAGTGTTGGAATCAGGAGCCAAGATCCAGCTACCTGCCTGACCCCAGACCTCCAGCCCAGCCCTCATGCACCTCCTCTGGCTCTTACTTCCCACCCCCACCACAGAGGTAGGACCAGGCTGCCTACCAGCTAGACCCTCCGTCAGTTCCAAGGAGAGCACTTTGGGCTCCACCTGCAGAACCCCCATCTCCTAGTCACCTTGCCAGGCTTAGTGGGGGCCACGGCTTCCAGAGGAAAGGGGCTACCAGGCACAGGTACGCCATCGTAGGTCACCTCCACCTCATAGGGCCCCTCTTCGCGGGGCACAAAGCGCACCACACTGTTGTCACTGCCCAGGCCTGGCTCCACCTTGCAGGGCACTGCATTGCCCGAGGGACCCATGATCTTGGACGCCACTTTGCCTTGGCCACCGGCGCCCTTTGACTTGACCGTGAACTCCTGGTCTTTGCCAACATCTACCTCTGTTGAGATGATGAAAAGAGGAAGAAAACTAAAACCATGCTCAGGCAGCCCCTTGTGAGTCTCAGGCTACCGGGTTCTCAGTGACTGTGACAAGGGCCCTAGCTACTTACTCTCTCCTAGGCCAGACACCTTGATCTTGCTGAGGTCCAGACTTGGAGACACTCCCACTGAGAAAGGGCTCTTCGGGATGGGATCCCCTCCATAAGTGACACTGACACCTACTGGGCCCTGGGCGGGAAATGGAAGGGCAGGGGTGTCATGGGTAAGGCCCCTGGTCTCCTTGGTCTCCAGCTGTCCCACATGGGCTCCCCATCCCCCACCCAGAAATAAGTGTGTACCAGAGGCCCCCTGGAGCAGCCCACCCAGCACGCCCTGCCAATAGGTCCACGGACTAGTGCACTGTGGAGGAGGGCTGTGGCCACAGGGTCCAAGATGGCTACCTGCTGCACAGGAGTGTACTTGACCGTGTAGGTGTTATCATGGTGGTCGATGATGTCCACGTCTCGTACCGCATCCCCCTTGGCTAGCCCTGAGAACTGGACATCCAGCTTGCCTTTGCCAGCAGCCTTGGCATTGACCGTGAAGTGGGTGGGCTTGCCAAGCTCGATACCTGAGGAGATAAGGTGACCATTAGGGACAGTTTGGCTCAAGAACCCCTCTTGGGATACCCCCCAGACCTCCCACAGGGTACTTGTCCTCACCGGTGCGACTGAGGCCAGGGCCCTCGGCTTTCACCTTGCTGGCGTCATGGGAGGGCTCCACCTTGACCCGGATGGGGCTGGTGGGTGTGGCCTATGCGTGGTGGAAGGAGAGGGTTGAGAGGAGAACAGCACCTAACACACAGCGGTCTTAGGGGCCAGGAGCAGCAACCCACCTGGTCAGCGAAGAGGACCATGATGGTATAGCTGCCAGCCCCACGGGGTGTGTACTTGACTGTGAAGGTGTCATTGTCATTGCGGATGATGTCGAAGTCGATATCAGCCTCAGCTGGGCCCACCACTCCTGGGGCACACTTGATGCCAATGCTGACATCCCCTGAGGTGGGGAAGAGCCCAGGCTGGAACCTCGTGGGTGTGGGGGAACCCCACTACCCGCCATGCCGCCCCCAGCCCAGCCTGCCAGCCCCACGGGGTGTGTACTTGACTGTGAAGGTGTCATTGTCATTGCGGATGATGTCGAAGTCGATATCAGCCTCAGCTGGGCCCACCACTCCTGGGGCACACTTGATGCCAATGCTGACATCCCCTGAGGTGGGGAAGAGCCCAGGCTGGAACCTCGTGGGTGTGGGGGCACCCCACTACCCGCCATGCTGCCCACAGCCAGGCCTTACCCTGGCCGGCCTCTGTGCAGTCTACCGTGAAGTAGGTGGGCTCATGCGCCTTGAGTCCTGTCTTGGCTACTCCTGGCCCATACACTTTGACTTTGTTTGGGTGGCTGCCAGCTCCCACATTCACCTGCAGGGCATAGGGCCAAGCAAAAGGACATGACCAGCCTGGGGAGAGGCAGAGGCTCCCTCAGCCACCACTGGCAGACATGCGAATGGCGTTGCCAGCTTGGGAAGAGTGACCACACAACCAACTCCGAAGCACAGCACAATTCACACCAGCCTCAAGGTTAGGGACAACCCAGATATCTACCAGCAAAATGGATGAACAGACAAAACATGATCCATCCAGACAACAGAATGTCATCAAGTCATAGTAGAGGCCTAGCCTCTGTGCAGTTGGACTGTAGTGCCAGAAGCTGCATGCCGACCACAGGGCAGCTCCTCCGCCCAGGGCACAGGCGTGTACATGTGCCCAGGGTGGATGGCCCTGCGAGGCTGGAGGGCTAGGGCAGGGGCTAGGGCAGTGTGTTGGGGTTGACCCCTTTGTGTGCACACGCATATGCTACCCCAACTAGAAATAAAAGCACATGAACTGTACAACAGGAATGCAGTACTGAGAACACGTGGACACAAGGGTGACTGCCAGGCTGGGCAGGGAGCTCCTCTTGGGGATGACAGTTCTGCGGATGTGCTGAGAACCAGAGTTGTCTGCTTGGAATGGGTGAGCTGTGTGGCATGTGAACTGTCACTATGACAGGCCTAGCTACAAGTCAGCCAGTGGCATGGTGGTTAAGGCATTGGCTTCCCTATCCAACTGAGTGGTTCAAGTCCTAGACCTCATGGCTTGAGACACACACTGGGCACATGTATGTGCATGCCTAAAATCCCAAGAAGAGAATGGAGAAGGGACTGTGGCGTGGCCATCCCCCTTGGGAGGACATTTCTTGCTTTCTGTCACTTTGTCTCTCTCTGTGTCTCTGATGAGTACATGTGGGCGCCCTATAGCAAAAATCTGTCTTAAAAATTAAATAAATTTAAAAGACTGTTAAGAGGTGTGTGTCTCTCAATCTCTCTCACATACATGTTTATCACTGAAACAAGAAAAGCACATAAAAATGAAGCAGGGGCTCTAGAGAGCTGTGCTAAAGGTCTGTGGTGGTGGCTCAGCCGAAAGGGGCTGTTGGGGATGCTGACGCCACCCCAGGACACTGTGGCTGTGTGCTTCACCGGCTTCCGGGGCACATAGGAGCAGCTGTAAGTACCGTTGCCGTTGTCCTTGACGGACGCCTCCACAGGGCAGCCCTCATTGTCCTACAAGGTGAAGACAGGGGGCCGGCAGTCAGGGCCTGGGCCTGCCCCCCTGCCCACCCTGCCTCCATCACAGGCGACTACCCCACCTGCACTTGGACACGGAGCGGGGCCTTCCCGCCATGTTTGGCATCCACCGTGAACTCTGCCGGCTTGTTGACAGCTACGCCTGTCTTCTCCAATCCGGGCCCACGTGCCTTCACCTGGTGGGAGACCACCCATGTTTCAGGGCACCAAGCATTGCCCACCACAGCCATAAGCCGGCCAGGGACACAGGGTAGCAGGAGCACTGGCAGGAAGGGCTCTCAAGCAGAAGGAGGCCAAGACTGACCCTGTCCGGGTAGAAGTCCTGGGGCGCGTCACGGATGTCAGCCATGAAGGGGCTGAGGCGGATGTCTTCGCTGTTGCACAACACATGGACAGCATACTCGCCAGCCTCCTGGGGCCAGTAGCGCACGTCACAGGAGCCATCACCCTTGTCATCACATTCGATCTTGGCCTGGGATGGGCCCTCCACCGAGAAGCCTGGCGATAGCCACCAGTCCTATCAGCACCCTGGAGCCACCCTGGCCCTCAGGCACCCACACGGCAACCTCTACTTACCAAGGGTGCCCACGTCGTCCCCAATGGCCTCGACCACAAAGTCTGCTGACTTGCCAACGACACCGCCCTCCAATCCAGGGCCCCAGGCCCGCACCTTCTGATTGCCACACTCAGTGCCCACCTTCACCTCGAAGGGACTGTGAATGGGAGAGCCAGGGGAGTGCTAAGGGTAGCCCAGAAGGAGGAGGCCATGAAACGTGCCCACCGCCAAGCAAGGAGAGTGTGCTGGGGCCTCACCTGCGCCCGATGTTCTGGCCGCCCCACGTGATAGTGACAGTGTACGTGCCAGGAACCATGGGGTAGTACTCGAAGCCATACACACCATCCCCCAGGTCCTTCTGCTTCACACGCTCCTCACCCTCTGCCAAGACAAGAAGGGCCTCAGGCCTGCCCGCAGCAGCCCTGGGGGCTGCCACCTCCCCACCTGGCCCTGACCCAACTCACTGGGGCCCTTCACGGTGACCTTCAGCTCTCCACTGCCAGCACCCTTGGTGTATACTTTGAAGTCTGCTGTCTCCTTCACCCGCACGCCTTTGGGCTGCAGGCCCCGGCCAACAGCCCGGCAGGCACCTGGATTGCAGGCTATGAGAAGAGGGGCAAGTGAGTTGCTGGGAGCTGAGGCTAGATGTCTGCCCCATCTCTTGCCTCCCATAAGGCCAGACTGTTGGGATCATAGGGTCCCTCACAGCTTGGCTCAATGACTAGCAAGGGACATGCAAAAAGAACTGGACAGGACTATGACCCCCAGGACCTGCAGCCAGGCCAGGACATGGCCAGCCTCCTCCCTCCTAGCCAAAATCAGCCCACAGGCCCCCGCCTGGCCCGCTGCTCCCCCCACGCCCCGTCTAGGCAAGGTGGATCCAAGTACCGTTGACCCTGCAGGCAGAGCAGAACAGCAGGTTTCTAGACAGCTGGAAAAACTTCCGAAGGTGAAAGCATGGAGAGGAAAGAGATGGAGAGCGAGAAGAGGAGGAGGAAGGGCCCCAGCCGGGGAGAAGAGACAGTGCGTGCCCAAACAGTGGAAGCTCACAAGCCAGGATGCCCGGGTAATGTGGGGCAGGGCCGAGCTCCCCCTCCCATCTGCAGTGCCCTGGGCGGAAGTGGGTGGCCAGGGCTGGGCCTACCTTGGCCGACAGTGACACTGTAGGGGCTACGAGGGATGGGCACTCCAGCGAAGGTGACGTGCACTGTGTGGACACCCTCCATGGTGGGCTGGTAGCTGCAGCGATACGTGCTGTCTCCCCGGGCCTCCAACTGAGGCTCCACAGTGCCCTTCTGTCCTGCAGGGTCCTGGATCACAACTTCCACCTCACCCGTGCCAGCTCCTGCCATGAGGTACCAGCTCAGTCTCCAGGCCCCAGCATGCACCCCACCCTGCCCCAGTGCAGCCGGCCGGGCACCCTTACCTGCTGTGAAGATCTCAAAGTAGGTCGTCTTATTGGCAATGTTGCCGCTGGGCTCCAAGCCAGGGCCCTGGGCAGTCACTTTGCTGGCGTCACCCTGGGATTTGTCTACGTACACCTCAAAGGGGCTCTTGGCAATATGTTGGCCAGCAAAGAGTACAGTGACCTGTCCCCAGGAGAGGCAGGCCATGAATATGGGGTTGGTGCCTCCTGCCACCAGCCAGAGCCACCTGCTTCCCCCTACTAGCCCAAGGCTCACCTTATGAGTCCCTGTCACCTCGGGAATATACCATACAGAGAAGGTACGGTTCTTGTCATTATTGGCGGTCACCTTTGCCTGTGGTGAGAAGCAGCTGTGAGCAACCTGACAAAAGGGGGTGCTGCAGTGCACCCTGCCAGTGAGTATCCTACCTCCTCCTGGTGTCCAGCTGGGTCCTCCACGTACACCAGCACCTCTCCCTGGCCGGCACTCCTGGTCTCCACGGTGAATTCTGCCCGCTTCTTCACCATGTTACCCATGGGCTCAATGCCTGGTGAGAAGGTGAGTAAGCCAAGGACCAGGGGTTAGGAACACAACCCCTGCCCTTCTGGCACAGTCAGGCATGCTGGGGCCTGGGCTGGGGCCTAGGCGAGCACGTGCAGTGTAAACTTCAGCCCACTGAGCCTGGCCTCAGGACCCAGCTGGGCTCCTACTGCTGGGACAGGTCCGAGCCTGTTTTCTGGAAGGCTCAGGTTTGCTGAGCTGGTGTGGTTGCCCAACCCTTTGCTCCTAGGTGATCCTGGGAGCTGGTTCATCTCCATTTCCAGCGAAGCTTGTCAGGTCCACACCACTCTCCTCCCCTGCCTGACATGCCACCACAGGCTTCTGGGACCTGAGGGACTTACCAGCAGTCTCTTATGTACACAGGGGGCCAGTTTCAACCAGCCCTGCCTCTGCTGGCATGTGATCACCTAGCCACCAAGAGACCCAAGCCCTCCCTCACCTGGCCCATAGGCTCGGGCTTTCTTTGGATTCAGTTTGGGCCGAAGGGGAGCCCCTGGCTTCAGCTTGGCCTTGGGAAACTGGGACAGGTAGGTCATGACAGAGTGTTCATCCACATTGGGGTCCACGATCTCCTCAGGGGTGATCACCTGTTACAAGCAGGAGACACAGGCCACTTCAGGCCTCTCCCCACTGCAAGCCCAGTCTAACAGCCAGGGGCAGGCCGGGGTCTACCTGAGGGATGCCCAGCCAGTCGTCGGCCTGCTGCATGGCTTCCCGGGCGTTGTTGACGGGCTTGCTGGCGTCCCAAGAGTCCCAGTCGGGACACAGGCCTGTGACACACAGAAGGCTGTGAGTCACAGGCTCTAGGACACCCAGCCCCAGCCCTCCCACTCCTGCATCCCCTCACCTGGGGCACAGCTATCAACCAGGGCACCCAGAGCCCGGCCACTCTGCCAGTCCCGGCTGAAGTTGGTGATAGGCAGCTGTGGAAGCTTGTTCTGGATCCAGCCCAGCAGCCGCTGCTTAGGTGTCTGCTTCTTGGCCTCCTCATCCTCCTCCTCGTCCCACATGGGCATGGAGATGGAGTAGTGCAGGATCAGGGTCCAGATGAGGCCCAGAATCAGCTTCAGGTTTCCGTCCACAATGGCCTTGCTGTCTGTTGAGGCAAAGGGGGCCATGGAAGAGGGGCCAGACAGGAGGGCCTGGGGTGCCCAGAGGTAAAGACAACTTGTGGAGGAGACACACGATGACCACACATTGCACTGAGGGAGCCCAGGGGAGACCTTGGGAGGAACTCCCCCACACATTGATATTGGGATTGATGCTGGGCAACTTCGTCTCCAGGGGTCTCTGGGGGCCCAGCTAGCTGGAAGCCAGGTCCCCTGACCTCTAACTGGGCTGGGCTGAGGAAGAGGCACCCAGGGGTGCATAGTGGTTGGGAAATTGCTACACCAGGGTGCTGGAGGGCACAAGTAGGGGAAGTGGGGGTGTTGGGCAAGGGCCCTTTGGGAGAAGGGGTGTAAGCCCCAGCCTGCCCCACTTCCCACAGAGCCAGAGCTCAGCCCAGCTCCAGGGAGGCACTGGGAACCCAAGGGAGACAGCAGTCAGACCACATGGCTTTGACTCACTGGGGCCAGTCAGGAACTGCTGGGGTGATGGGCAGAACATAGTGGGGACCCCTGGCCCAGCTGGAAGAGGGTGGGATCCAGGCCTGCTAGGGAGTAAGCTCGGGTGGCATAGGCTCTGGGTGGGGTCCCAGGTCTGGCTGTCTCAGCAGGGCCTGCTTGGCCACCACCCATTGCCTGCCCTACTTGCCACCTAACGGGCCTCAGGCGGCCACCATGCTCACCACAGGGGAAGTGGTTAGGGCGGGCACCCTGCACCCCATGTAACCATGGCAACCCCTCTGCTCTCTGGGCCCCACCCAGGGCCTCCTCTGGCTCTCAGCCTCATCAAGGGGATGGCTTAGGGTAGAGTAGGCTTTTTACAAGCTCATCTTTGGAAACTCTGCTGGCCTCCCCCAAACTCAGAGAAAATTCAACTGCAGGGTGGGCCTGTGAGAAGGGAGTAGATGCCATGGAAGGGTCCATCCCACCACATTGTGCCTGACAGCTTGGTCCTGGCCTCACTTGCCCTGCTGCCTTTCACCCATAACCAGATGACTGGAGGGAGACAGAAGGCATCCAGTCCCTTCGGGCTTCTGCCAGTTCTGGGCCAGCACAGGAGCCCTCGGGGAGCCATCAGGGACCTACAAGGGGTGAAGCACGGCCAGGCCCACCAGCCCGGAAAGAAGGGTTGCCCGCCCCCGGAGTTCATCCCCACCCTCCTCTAAAAGGGAAGGACCAGGGCCCCCAGCTACTAGACTAGCCTGGCTGAATTTCCCCAGCCCTGGGCCAGCCAGCCCCCTCCCTCCCCTAATCACTGCTGCTTTCCAACATTTTTTTGCCTTATATGGCAAAGCTCTGGGAACTAGGCCTGCTCTAGCCAGCTCACAAGGAGGGGGAGAAGGGAGGAGACCCCCCCCAAAGAGCTGGGGTGTGGCCCGCCTCCCCACATCCGGTTGCCCCCCCCCTCAGAACTCAGAGATGACTCAGCTTGGCTAGACTGAGACTAGGACTGAGGAGTGGGCCTCCACCCCAACAGGCATTCCAAAGAAAGATCCTTGGCTCTAGGCCTCCTCACTTTCATGGGCTCAGCACTGACCATTCCAAGGAGTCAGGGTATCTGGAAGGCCCTTTTCAATTCTCAAGGAAATGTTCATCTCCTCTTCTCTCCTTGGTCCACATACCCAAGTCGCCATTTCTGGTGCCTGTCCCCAAGCAGCCCCCATCTCCAGAAGGGCCCAGGATGCTGCTGCAGACCTGGCTTGGTCAGTGCCAGCCTCTCCTGTCCAGTGACGCGGACACAGAGCTGCCAGGAACCCCATGCATACTGGGGCACCTTCCAGCCACCTTCTGCCCTCCGTGTGCAGAAGAACTATGTCTCCGTGGAGGCAAGAGTCTTGGCCCAAGAGGACCGACCAAACCCCCGTCCAAGTAGATTATGAGCCGAGTCCACTCACTAAAGGACACCCAAATTGCCTTGGGTGCTGCGGCTTTGCTAGCTATGCTTCCGTCTGGCCCCCAGGTCCCTAAGGAATATCTGAGCCATCCCCAGTGGGGGAGGGGGGCTATCTTCCAAGGACAGAAGGCGAGACCCCCTAGACAATGGGATCACAGGGTACCTGAAGGCCAGAGGGCCCTCTCTAAACTGCTTGTAGCGGAAAGCCCGGGCCGCCCCCTCTCGGGGATGGGTACAGGGCACAGGGCCAAGAGTTGCCCAGTGCCTGCCCCCCCAGGCCCTCTCCCTGCGAGCGCAGCGGTGGGGGCGCGGCCTGCAGAGGATGTGAGCTCAGCCTGGGCTGGGGCCAGCCGGGGCGCAGTGGGCGGGAGCACGTAGCGGTTCGCACGCCCGGCCGGTCACCCAGCCCGCGCGCCTTTGTTCTCGAGGCCCGCGCGGAGGCGGGCCACCCGGG